ATTTTGGGATTGCCAGAGCACTTCCTATACCACCCAAGAGGCAGGTGATGCCTGCAGTAACAAATGGCTGTCTCACACTGAGGCTAAGTAGAGAAGGAGAAGCCAAACCCTATGCTGGTTTGATTATACATCCTAGCACTTAGGAGCGTGAGGAAGGAAGGAGGAGGATTATCACAAGAGGCCTAGCCTGGGCTATATGAGACCCTGTCTCAAAACACACACACACACACACACACACACACACACACACACACACAGAGTAAATACGTATTAATGCTTGCACAAACACACACTAATCTTTTTTTACTCTTCAGAACTTAAAATGTAGAAAATAGTTACTTCTGGCTAGTACAAAAAGTACTAAGAAATTAAACACTCCCTTTTTAATGTAGATTTAATGAAGTGCTATCATAATTCTGGTAAATGTTCAGGTGACAACTCTTGGGTGTTTTGAAATACTTTGCCTATTTCACAAAGCCAATTCCTTAACATTTATTGATCTATTGATCTTAAGCAAATTCAAGGTATACCTTATTCTAGTCCCCAGTCTGAAAATAGGAAAGAAGTCAATAGTTTTTGTTACTTAAAGCACCAGAAATGCCCACCTCCAACCTTTCAGTGAACCCTCATTCTCAGGCATTCACTCCAGGTTCATTACCATTTCCTAACTTTTTTTTTGTTTGTTTGTTTTTTGTTTTTCCCTTTCTTATTCTTCTCATCCTCTTCCTCCTCCCCCTCTTCTTCTTTTCCTGTTAAGTGGTTTGGCATGGACTATACCTGATGAAGATGTATGAGCAACAGGAGCTCAGAGCCTTTAAAACACAATGGCATCTCAGTTTACATGTGCCTTCTCATTCACCAGTTGGAAATATGCCTAGAAAGATCATTTAATTTGCCCCTTGCTCTTTAAACACAAAGAAAGTAGTTAGAAAGAAAAGGGGTGAGCCTTGATGGGATTGTTTAGAATGGCAAAGAAATGAGAGTCTCTTGGGGCCAAGTGAAAACAGTTGGATTTTGTTCAGGACAACTAGGCACTAGGCAAGAAGGCCAAACATTTAAAAAAAAATTGCAAACTGTAAGCCCCACACAAGTCTCCCATAGCAAAGATCTGTGAGGACCCTTGGAACTGACCTGAGAAAAATGCATGCCTACAACCTAAAGGATATCTAACACAGAAACAAAGATGCCGACATAAACAATTCAAAGGAAGAAAGTGTGAAATTGAGGACCATCAGGGCAATTATCATAAGGAAATGACTTATGCTAATATGAAGCTTGATAGCAAGCTGAAGTCTATAGACGTGTGATCAGAGATGGGAGAAGAAGAGCAGGTTGGAAACTCATGAACACAGACTAAAGCTGTGTTGTCTGTGAACAGTAAGGAAAAGTAGTTAGTTCACGAACTGGTTGGAACTTTAAGGGCATCGAATATTTGTATCTTTGAAATTACACAGTAACACACTCTTTTTATTTAATTAAATTCGACTGATTTGGATTTTTTTTTTTTTTTTTTTTTTTTTTTTTTTTTTGAGACAAGGTCTCATATAGGGTGGGCTGGCCTTGAGCACCCGGTGTATCTGAATCTGAGGCTGGTGCTGAACTCCTAATGTGTCTGCCTCCTTCTCTCATCTCTCAAGTACTGGGATTACAGGCTTGCACAACACCTGGCTCAGGGGTTTTTAATCACATCTACAAAATTCATTCATGGCAGCATTTAGATTTGCATTTGACTAAAGAAGCGAGGTCTATAGTTCAGCTTGGCCTAGTTTCTACATCAATAAGCTGTTACACAAGAGGAGCCAGTGCATGACATGTGTCTCTTTCATCTTCCTTCCTTTCTGTGCCAGGACACTAGAGAAGCTACAGCCCAAAAGATGGGGCCAAAGTAATTAAAACATGTCTTCATCATGTGAGGGTGCATGCATGGGCATGTATGTGCCACGGCATGAGTGTGGAAGCCAGAGGACAATTTTTCAGGAGTCAGTTCTTTCCTTCTACCATGTGAATTCCAGGGATTGAACTCAGATCATCAGCCTTTTTGGAGTGCACCCTTGGTCACTGAGCCTTGGCCATCTCGCTGGCCTGATAAACCCTTCTAGAAGCAATCCCCAAAGGGAGAGAATAGGAGGAATAAAATAGCAAGGCACTCTCACTTCCAAATCATGTTCCCAGAGCAGTAGGTTTGGCCTGTAGCAGAAAGAGGGAAGCACTGAATAAATACAAGGTAAATTTTCAACGATAGCAGAAAATGGGAAGTTATGGAATGTAAAATTCCATCAGGATAATTACTGGTCATCAAGGAAATGAGAATTGTCATAGTTAAATTGGGTACAGTAAGTAGGAACATAAAACTCCAGAGCTGAGCCAGGCAGGAAGCAACATGATGACATTATACAAATTAGATTAGAAGTGCTGCAATTGTTTAGATGAAGACGTGTCTGGAGAAGTCAGAGAAGGCTTGATCCTAAAGACAGAGTTTGAATTAGCTCCTAACAGGTGATCACTATTTAGAATGTTGGAGCAGAGGAGGGACTAGTGGATAAAAGCTTGGGAAATTACTTTTACACACATGGTGCAAGGTCAGGGAGACACCACACAGATTCCTGGAGCATAGTATGGGTGCCAAGGGACTAACTACAGACCAGTGCCGTGCTAAGCAGGCTATCAAGTGCCTGGCACAGGAGTTGGAGTTTACCTTTCTGTTTTTGTGTTTGAGACAGCATCTCATGTGACCCAGGCAAGCCTCAAACCCACTCACTATGTAGCTTAGGATGGCTTTTACTTTCTGGCCGTCATGCCTCTATCTCCTAAGTGTTGGGATTACATGGGTGCCCTGTGTTTGTTGACACTGATAGGATAGAAAGGTGATCTGTAGAGAACTCCTGATTCTTGGATGGGGAAAACTTGGAGGAAAGTTTCTGTCTGAATCTTTTAAAGACAGATTAATGTGACAACATGATAACACGGATGGGATTTAGAGGAGGGCTGGAACTCAAGGGGGCCAGACAGGATGCCAGGGTAATGTTCTAGTCTGCGACCCACACTGGCTTCTTCTAGAATAATGGCATTAACTCGGAATTAGAGAGAAAAGAAATATTTCAAAGTCAAAAACAGTAAGAATGAGCCAATTTGGAGTGTGATGGCAGAAAGGAGAATTCAGAGTGTTCCTTGATTTCTAGTTTGGGGGTCTGGAAGGACTGTGAGATCACCCACAGAAGTCAGGAGCTGGGAAGAAAGTTCCTTCTTGGCGACTGAGACTGTGACTGAGTTCGAGGTTACTGAAACTAAAACCATGATTTTCAAATGGAAATGGCTAGAAGTGAGAAATACAGAATAGTGGGGTTTCTTGAGACCAGTATTTTGGAGAGATTGCAGGAGGAGGCTGGTCAGGTCTGGAGGGTCTGGAGGCATGGGTGGTATTTTTCCATGACTTCTTCCAGCTGAAGAGGACTTTCAGAAGAATTGAGAGCAAACAGAACAGCTGGCTAGCCAGATGATGTCAAAAGAATAGAACAGGACTTGATTCTGGGGTCATGGCTTAAGTCCTGGAACTGAGGAGTTTGGGCATGGATTTGGGGGGTCATGATGAGAGAAAAGTTTCCTCTTCTCTCCTTTGCCTCTTCCCGTTTAGAGCAGACACACTCCAGTGGGCTCCACATGTCTGGTAAGGTGTATTGCCAGATCACTTCTTAGGGTGAAGAAAAAAATCACTGAAAAGGAAAAGGAAACCATTCAAAGAGAGGCAGGAAGGCAGACTGAGTGAGAAAGAATGACACTGTAAAAAATACCCATCCATAGGGCAATTGAGGTGAAAATAGCCAAACTTACTTTTAACATTTATTGAGAGTTTATATATTATATAAACTATATATACTTCTGTGGAAAATTCTTTATATTCAGCATTTCTTTGAAGGGAACTTAATATTTTTTCCTAACCAACAGTATATCACAATATCAAGTACTGGAATTATAGATATGTGCCACTTGGCTTAGATTCTGTTACTATATAAAATTATGTAAAATGCTTTTGGGGACTAATGAGGTGCTCAGTGGTTAAAAGCTCTTCCTGCTCCTTCAAAGGACCCAAGTTTGGTTCCCAGTACTCGAGTGGAGAGTCTCACAACTGCCTGGAACTCCAAGTTCCAGGAAATTTGACTCCTTTTTCTGACCTTTGAGGATACCTGCATACCTACATGTGTGCACATGCATGTACACATGTACACACACATACAGATTTTTTTAAAAATATCTTTAAAATACCGCCAATTTATGAATTAGCAATTTAGAACATAGACAAATGGGCATAACAACCAGGCAAGGTGTGGGGCTGGGAGAGATGGCTCAACCATTAAGAGCACTGGCTGTTCTTCCAGAGGACCTCAGTTCAATTCCCGTACCCACATGGCAGCTCACAACTGTCTGTAGCTCCAGTTCCACAGGATTCAATACCCTCACACAGGCATGAATGCAGACAAAACACCAACACACATGAAAGAAAATTAAATGAAACCTATTTTTTTTTTAAAAAAAAAAAAGGCAAGGTGTGATTGATGCTGCTTTTTATTTTTTATCTTACTTGTAAGATGGGTAGAGATGAAAAGATGGGAAAATATCAGTATGCCATGTAAAAAATGAGGCATAGACAAGGTATGTGGCATATACCTCTAATCCTAGCAATTGGGAGTTGGAGGCAGGAAGATGAAGAGTTCAAGGGCAGCATGGGCTATATGAGACCCTATTTCAAAAAACCAATAAACTAAACAAACAAAAGAGCTAAATAAGAACAAATACAGTGAAACATTGGGACAGTCTCACAACAGGAGTGATACAGGCTGGAAAATTCCATTGGGCTCATATACATGATAATTCATATGCCAAATCAAATTTTCCTATTATGTTTCCTTTCCAGACTATTATAATCTCTACCTTCCACCATTGAATTAGTATATACATGCAAAATAGTCATGCAGTTTTCAATGCAATAAACATGTATTTTTTTTTCTTTAAATAGAATTTGTTATCTGAAGAAATGGATACTTCTCCATCCAAAACATATCCTGTTAAAAAACGGGTGAAAATACATCCCAACACAGTCATGGTAAAATATACCTCTCATTATCCCCAACCTGGGGACAACGGGTATGAAGAAATCAATGAAAACTATGGCAAATTTATGGAAGAAAATCCAAAGAAAAGCCTGCTGAGTGAAATGAAGAGGAAAGGAAGAACTTTGTTTGGAACCATGGACACGCAGCCTCCTCTAACAGAAGATTTAAGAGCGAGTGGGATGGCACAATTCCAGAGCTTTGCAGAAAAAAACATTTTTCAGTCCCGAAAAATGTGGATAGTGCTGTTTGGATCTGCCTTGGCTCATGGATGTGTGGCTCTTATCACTAGGCTTGTTTCTGATCGTTCTAAAGTTCCATCTTTAGAACTGATCTTTATCCGTTCTGTCTTGCAGGTCTTATCGGTGTTAGTTGTATGTTATTACCAGGAAGCTCCTTTTGGGCCCAGTGGATACAGATTACGGCTTTTCTTTTATGGTGTATGCAATGTTATTTCTATCACCTGTGCGTATACCTCCTTTTCAATAGTTCCTCCCAGCAATGGGACTACGATGTGGAGAGCCACAACCACAGTTTTCAGTGCCATTTTAGCATTTTTACTTGTAGATGAGAAAATGGCTTATGTTGACATGGCTACGGTAGTTTGCAGTATCTTAGGTGTATGTCTTGTCATGATTCCCAATATTGTTGATGAAGACAATTCATTGATAAATGCCTGGAAAGAAGCCTTTGGGTACACTATGACTGTGATGGCCGGACTGACCACTGCTCTTTCTATGATAGTGTACAGATCCATCAAGGAGAAGATCAGCATGTGGACTGCACTGTTTACCTTTGGTTGGACTGGAACAATCTGGGGAGTTTCTACTATGTTTGTCCTTCAAGAACCTATCATTCCTTTAGATGGAGAAACATGGAGCTATCTCATTGCTATATGCATTTGTTCTACTGCAGCATTTTTAGGAGTTTATTATGCCTTAGACAAATTCCACCCAGCTTTGGTCAGCACAGTACAGCATCTGGAGATTGTGGTAGCTATGGTTTTACAGCTTTTAGTGTTACACATATTTCCTAGTGTTTATGATGTTTTTGGAGGTGTGATCATTATGATTAGTGTATTTGTCCTTGCTGGCTATAAACTGTACTGGAGGAATGTAAGGAGGGAAGATTATCAGGAAATACTGGACTCTCCCATTAAATGAATACCTGGTTATTATTATCTTCTCAATGTCTAGTTATTAACATGGTCATTGCCATTTTAATATTTACTTGTAGTGTCTTTGTGTTACATAATTTATAGAGTCTACATAGTACAAATAATTATACAGATGCAGAAAAATATTTGACTAATATATTAAAACATACATATTAAATAGATGAAATATGTCATGAACTTGGTGTCTCTATAATTATTAACAAAAAGTAACTGTGCTAGAAGAATATCATTCTCCATCACCAAAGACACAAGACTAGGAGTGTCAGATTGAATGTCTGTGGTTATAAACTTCTAAAACTTGAAAAATGTTTTGTTTTGAGACAGGCTATTTCTATATAGTCCTGGCTGTCCTGGGACTTGCTATGTAGACCAGACTGATCTGGAACTCACAGAGACATGCCTGTCTCTGTCTTCCAAGTGTTAGCATTAAAGGCATATACCACTATGCTTGGGTAAAAAGTTTATTCTTTCTGTTTGTTGTTTTTGTTTTTGAGACTGAGTTTCTCTGTGTAGCCTTGGCTGTCCTGAAACTCATTCTGTAGATCACATTGGTCTCGAACTCACAGAAATCATTCTGCCTCTGCCTCCTGCCACTACTGGCCAGCTGAAAAAAATGTTTATTCTTAATGTTCTACAAATGTGTAACAAACATCCTTCAAGATTAAGAAATATTCATTCATTAAAATTATACTATAGGATAAAATGTTGAACACTTATCTAAAGTCCATTTTTCCACTAAAAATCTAAAGACTTTGAGTTGAGATGAATAAAGGGAGTAAAGAAAAGTTGGATTTTCAGTAACAGGGAGTCTAAACGTTAGAATAGAAAATTTATCTTCTCATAGTAGGTCACATTAGGCAACGTACAGGGGATGAGTGTAGGGTATAATGAATTTTCACCAATTGTATATAATCCATAATCCATACCATTTTGTGCCTGATTATATGAGAGCTAATATTTGGGCAGAACCTCCTTATTGTCATTTATGCAAATCTTTTTTCATAGCTGCTCCTATGTAAGTAAAGCAGACATGCCATACCCTTAAAAATAGATAAATAAATAAATAAATAAAGACACTGACATGTCTATTGCACAATGAACTCAAAGCAGATGTGGTTACTTATGCAAGACCTGCACAAGATGAAGCCAGCCACAATTTCAGCATAGCTGGAGAGGAACTCTCCAGGACCCATGCCTTAAACTGAGTTATTGGTGGTTGATGCCTGCTGGGAGAGGGAGAATAATGTTTTGAGGATGTTCCTACTATTATAATGTTCCAGTCTCCCTGCACCCCCCCCCATTACCACTACATATGGACAGCACTAATTGGATTTTGTAGCAAGAGTTTTAATAGGCCTTAATAATAAAAACTTGGAGCCAGCTATCAGGGGATGAAAGCTGAAGGATCAGAGAAGCAGAGCAGCCAGCCACTAGAGTGCTTACCTCTACCAATGCTCAGACCAAAGGGGCCATCATGTCCTTAGACTGCATCCTCAGACTTCCTGCTCAGACTACACTGCTCTTCGGACTAACTGCCCTGACTTATATTCCAATCTTCACCCAGCCATATCCCTTCCTGTGTCCACCTCCTTAGTGCTGGGATTAAAGGTGTGTGACTTCCAAGTACTAAGATTAAGGGTGTGAGTCACCACTGCTTGGCTCTGTTTCTCTTTTAGACTGGATCAATTTCATGTAGCCCGGGGGGTGGGGTGGTGGTGGTGGTGGTGGTGGTGGTGGTGCTTGAACTAACAGAGATCTGTCTGCCTCTGTCTCCCAAATGTTGGGATTAAAGGTATATACCACCACTGCCTAGCCTCTGGCTAAGTAGTGCGGCTAACTCTGCACTCTGATCTTCTGGCAAGCTTTACTTGTTAGATCATAAACTAGACATTAGTTATCAATAGACATTATGGAACCGGAATCAGGCATGGAGGTATAAGCCTATTAGCTTCTTAGGAAGCTAAGGCAGGATTCTCCCAAATTTGAGCACAGCGTGGGCAATTTAGCAATATCCTACATACAAAATTTAAAATGTTAAAAGGGTTGGGTGTGTGGCCTGTTGATGGAGTGTTTGGTTGGTGTGCACAAAGTCCTGGATGCAACCTACAATGGATGTGGGATGTGCATGCACACAAACATGCACAGCAAATGACAGCACAGAAAGAGGACTTGGAAGACGGTGGTGGAGAGTGACACAGAGAGAAGAGAAACTGCACTAAGTGCGTTGTGAATGTTACTGCCGTCTTTGACGAAGAGGAGAGAAAATATGGTGGAAAAGTTTGAGAGAAATATTAACCAGAATGTTTTCAAATTTGATTCAAGATAGAAAATAGGCACTAGCGACTCAGAAATCTGGGGAACTAGATGAAAGCCTGGCAGGGAAAATAGAAAAAGATATCTAGAAACAGTGAAACTTAACAGTGCATCTTTGCTGATGAGCATGAAGTTATAGATTCTTAAAAATAACCAGAGCAGGAAGATACGATGCACAGAAAGACAATGACAAGAGCTACAGGGTCAATGAGATGGCTCAATGGATAAGGGCTCTTGCTAACAATCCTAATGATCCAAATTGGATCCTTAGAACCCACATGGTGGAATGAGAAAACCAACTCTACACATGCATGTGTAGTAACACACACACACACACACACACACACACACCAAACAAATAAATAAACAAATGTCTTGGTTAAGGTTTTTATTGCTGTGAATAGACACCATGACCATGGCAACTTTCATAAGGAAAACATTTAATTGGGGTGTCTTGCTTACAGTTTCAGAGGCTCAGCCCTTTATCATAATGATGAAGGCATGGCAACCTACAGGCAAATGTGGTGCTGGAGCTGAGAGAGCTGTACCTTGCAGGCAACAGGAAGTCAACTGAAATACTGGGAGGTATCCTGAGCAAAGGAAACCTCAAAGCCTGCTTCCATAGAGATACATTTCCTCCAACAAGAGTGCCACTCCCTATGAGATTATGGGAGCCAATTACATTAAAACTACCACAGTAAATAAATAATAGATTTCAAGAATTACAACTTGAGGTTGGAGAGATGATTCCTTCATTAAGAACACTTGTAGCTCTTTCAGAGAAGCCAAGCTGGGTTCCTAGCACCCACAAAGCAGTTTTAACAGTTTGTTAGTCCAGTTCTAGGGGATCTGATGCCTTCTTCTGGTCTCTGATGGAACTGCAGGCACAAAGTGCACTTAACAAACATGCAGCACACAGGTTATTTTTTTTGATAATAATTTTTTATTTAAATTTGAAACAAGCTTGTTTTACATGTCAATCCCAGTTCCCACAACCTTCTCTCCTCCTCTGTCACCCCCAACTCCCATCACATCCCATTTCTGCTCCCCAGGGAGGATGGGGCCTTCCATGGAGGATCTTCAAAGTTTGTCATATAATTTGGAGCAGGGCCCTTCTGAACATGTCTAGAGAGAGTATCCTTCTATATGGAATGGACTCCCTAAGTCCATTCCTATACTAGGGATAAATACTGACCCCATAGATTGCCTAGTCCTCCCAACTAACACCTCATTCAGGTGTCAAGGTCAGTCCTATCCTGGTTTCCCAGCTATAAGACTGGAGTCTATGAGCTCCCCCTTGTTCAGGTCAACTGTTTCTGTGAGTTTCTCCAGTCTGGTCTTGACCCCTTTGCTCATTACTCCTCCCTCTCTGCAACTGGATTTCAGGATTTTGGTTCAGTGTTTAGTTGTGGGTGTCTGTTTCTGCTTCCATCAGCTACTGGATGAAGCTAGGATGGCATATAAGGTAACCATCAATCTCATTATCAGGGAAGGACATTTAAAGTAGCCTCTCCACTACTGCTTAGATTATTAGTTAGGTTCATCCTTGTAGATCTCTGTACATTTCCCTAGTGTCAGATTTCTCTTAAAGCCTATAATGGCTCCCTCTATTATGGTATCTCTTTTCTTGTTCTCCTCTATTCTTCCCCTGACTCAATCTTCCTGCTCCTTCATGTCCTCATCTCCCCTCATCTTCTCCCCTTTTCTTTCTCCTAACTCCTCCTCTCCTCCCTCCACGCTCCCAATTTGCTCTGGAGATCTTGTCCCTTTCCCCTTCTTTGGGGGACCATGTATGATCTCTCTTAGGGTCCTCCTTGTTTCCTAGCTTTTCTGGTGGTGTGGATCACACACAGTTTTTTACGAAACGAATTGCAGCTTGTTCCTCAGCAGAAGCAATGAAGGTCAGAAAACATCAGAATGAACTTTAAAGTACGAGAAAACAAGCAATGACTCTCTAGTGACTTCTCATTGCTTATAGGATAAACCCTAAGGCCCCCAGCTTTCAAAACATATTGCTTAAATTCTAGCCACCACCTGCTTCATCAATATACTACGATTGCTTAATGTCTTTATATTATGTAACCTGTCAAACACTTCTTTTTGCCTGAATAGTCTTACTACACATTTCCTCTCTTACTGTGGCTCAATGCCTTTCTGTCCCTAGGTACAACTATTGTTGGGTTTAGCATGTTAATAATGCAGGGTGGTTTAAATGTCAATATCTGACACTGATATGGACTCTTAAGATATCCAGTGCCTATTGTAGCACCTACTATACAAAACAGACTCTTTCCTGTAATAGCATAACCACACTGAATCTAGAAATTAAATTTAGTTAGTATGGCCCATGGATTTCTACATGTTAACCAAGTCCGTGATAGCTTCTTGCTACCAGATAGGTAGAATTTTTTTCCTCTAAACACTCCTGTCTGATAGGAACACTAAACTATCATTCTAACTATAAGCTGTCAATAGTTTCCTAAGAAAGGCCTTAGGATATGGAAGGTTCACATTTTTTTTTTTTTTTTTTAGTTTTCGGAGTTACTGGGGATGAGCTGCCTGTATTGTTTTTGCTTGCTTTGAAACAGAGTAGCTCTATGTAGCCCTGGCTGTCCTCCAATTTGTTACATGGATCAGGCTGGCCTTGACCTTGCAGAAATTGAACCTGCTTCTCCCTCTCCAGTGTTAAGATAAAAGGTGTGGTGGGCCATATATTTTAGTTTGTTTGCTTTTCAAGACAGGGTTTCTCAGTGTAACAGTCCTGGCTATCCTGGAACTTGCTCTGTAGATCAGGCTGGCCTCAAACTCACAGAGATCTGCCTGCCTCTGCCTCCCAAGTGCTGGGATTAAAGGCAGTGCAACCACTGCCCAGCTTTGTATGTTTTAAAATATATAATTTGCATTATTTACTTTTGATAAATAGAATGTAGCAGAGTATCCTCTGCCCAGTTTTATGGTCTACCTTTCTCAACTTCACTCAGGCTAAGAAGGAGCCACAGTGCATTGTAGTTTACTTAAGGCATGTCAACCCATGTATCTTTCAACGCACAATTAAGTTAAATGCAGAAAAGTGATTTTTTTTTTTTAGGATGTACACGTACTATCTGTATTACAGTGCAAGGAAAGAGTTGGAGAGATGGTTCAGTGATTAAGAGCATTGATTGCTCTTCCAGAGGACCTAGGTTTGATTCCCAGCTCCCACATGTGGCTCAAAAGCCCCTTAACTCCAGTTCCAGAAGATGTTATACCTTCTTCTGGCCTCCAGGGGCACCAGACACACATATATACATGAAGGCAAAATGCTCGTACACTAATAATAACAATTTTAAAAAGTGAAAGATGTACTAACGCCTCAATTATTGATGATGATGTGCTAGACATGGAGTGGAGATGGATGGACGCTGCAATTTAGGAATATGGGTGAGTTACAATGGAGGCAAAAACGCGTCTCAGTAAAGTTACCTAACCTGGACTGCTTCTTTAGGTGCCACACCTACACTAAGAAACAAAGGTGGTTAGGAAACAGTGAGGCAGTTATCGGTGGCTGCAAGACTAGTTAGGACGGAGAACCGATTCACAGGTGCCTTGGCAGGTGGCTGGGGCTGTGCCACTCACGGCCATGCTCAGCCCAAGGGCAAAAGTAACTGTCCTTTTCAGCAGGGCTGGATGCCGAGAGGAATGCCGCCCACGCGCCAGGGCATTAGGAAGTTCCTCAGACAGCTTATTTTGGTCGTGGTTTTAGTGAACAAACATGTTACATTTTTCTCCGAGGCTCGTTTTTCTTTGTCGCTCCCTGTCTAAGAATCTACAGCTGTGTCAGCCCCTTCGGGTGCAGGAACCAGAGAGAGCAGTTTGTGTTGAACTCGGGGCCGACACTGACGAGCGATTATAATGACAGGTTTCAGCGGCGCTGAGGGAGGCGGAAAGTAACCATACAGCGAGGAAGCTGGGGGTAAGATCACGGCCGCCAGGCCCGGCGCTCCTCACCTTGTCCTGCTGCCTGAGCGCCGCCGCGCAGTCTCAGCTCACAGAACACTCAGCGCCGCGCTTGATCGACGGGCCAGCTCGCCCAATCCCGAAGCGGCGCACTCCGCTGTGGCGTCAGGGGCGGGCCCCGCAGGCGATGCAGCCTATCAGACTGGGCGTGGAGCGGGTTTCCTGCCCGCACCGGCCCGCCCACCCGTTGCCCTCGCCCCGCCTCTCTCCGAGAGCTACGCGGCGGCGCTGCCCAGGCCTCGTGCGGTAACGGCATCCGTGCAGCCGCGGTGGCGTCCCGGTGCAGTCCTCAGGCGACGGGAGCCGCGGGCTCGGCGGAGGGAAGGTGAGGCGGCCCCGCCCGCGTGCGGACACGCACAGTCCTTTCGGCCCCCCCCGGTCCGTCTGCGCTGTCTGCTAGCCTGGTCGCTTCCTCTTCCCCGGGGAAGTTAGCCCAGGGGCGCCGTCTGCCGGCGGCGGAGCGGAGGGGGCGGGGAGGCCGCTCGGTGGAGCTCGGGTGTCCGCCGTGCATCCCGGTGACCCTGCGGCTTCGTCCCCTGAGCTGCGAGCACTGCTCGGGGAGGCGGACAGGCAAGTGTGCGGCGCGCCGCTTCGGCGCCCCTCAGAATGCCCTGTCGCGGTCGGTCTGTGGTCATGTCTGAGGCCGGGGAGGTAGGGACGCGGGGCTGGCAGGAAGGGCGCTCTCACCTCCAGCAGCCTGCCGGAGGAAGCCGGTCTGGGGGACATCCTCGGGGCGCGCCCTCCCCTCCCCCTACCGCCCCGGATGGGAGAGATGGGGGTGGCCGGGGGCTGTGGAGTTGGGGTAGGTCCAGGAAAAACAGCTTGCTGGGTTGGGTTTGTACGGTTTCGCACCGGGTTTCCGCTCAAGTTCGGTTTAATGCGAACAGCTGGTGAAGCTGGGTTTTTGTTCATGGTTGAGGACCGTAACATCGCTCGGTTAATGTCGAACCAGGCTGAAGTCACCCAAAGAAAATTCTGCCCCTTATGTTAGTTAGTAAGAATCCTTAGGCGTTAGGGAAGAATGAGGGTGAAGAAAACTTCCTAACCCCATCTTGGGGTGGGGAGCAAGGAGGATCAGTGTCCAGCCAAAACGAGTAAAAGTTTTGCAAGAAGTGCTCATTTTCAAAAGCTTTATGATCGCCTTAACGATTTCCTATGCACCTGGAAATCCGTTGTTTGCTTTCAGCCTTTAGCGAGGTCATAAAAATCAATGGAGAAATGGTTCAAGAACAAAGTTTTGTTCATTTTCAGTCCCGTTTTTTAATAGAAATCTCATTCACATTTTGATGGTAAATCAAGGCATCTGCATTGATTGAATAGTACTTTTTTCTCATCGTGGCCACATTTGATGCTTTCTCCAGGAAAACTAATTTGTAGGAATTGGCTGGACTGTCTATAAGTGTGCATAGTGGTCCCATCTCAGCTGTGTGATAAATTTGAAAAAGTTTGTGTCCCCCTCAGGGATTTTTTAAAAAAATTTTCCTGGTGTTACAGAGCCACATAAATAGTTGACACATTAATATAATGGTTTATGAAACACTGAGTGACAGTTTATGCTGCTAGTTTTCAAATTTTGAGAACTTTCTTCCAAAGTTCATAGTTTGATGTGACTTATTTTTATAAATTCCTTCTCAGAAAAGCTTGAAAAAAAATGAATTAGCCTTGTAATACAGAGAAAAAAAAAATGCATGTTTTCAGTGCCAGAAAATTCAATGATTCTTTCACTGATAAGTAAAATTGAAGGAAATGCTTGACGTTACTGAACATAATTTAACAGATCAGTTGGGTTGAAGACAATTTGACAGACCTGGATGATTCTCATTTTAACTTATCTCGGAAATAGAACTTAAAAGTCTTCCCTTAAAAACCAATTCCATATGCTGTCTTTTTTTGCTTGATGCATTATGTAACATGTTCCCAGTAACTCAGACATAAACCTTAACATTAGCCTATTTTTACAGTCATTTTCTTTAAAAAATTTCTTACTTTGTATTCTTACACTTTTTAATTTCTGTCTCTGAACTGCTCACTATCTTTAACTGGGTTTTCTGCTTGGATGACTCAAATATGTTCTGCCTGTGCTGATCTTAAAATAATACTTTAGTATATTTTACACTGTTTAGGAACCAGTAATATCTTTCATCTAGATTTCACAGTCTTTTAAAGATTTATTTTTATTTTATGTGTTTGAGTGTTTTGCCTACATATAAGTGCACCATGTGTTGTGTGTTCTGGAAAGAGACCCTAGATCCTCTGCAGGAGCTCTTAACCACTGAGCCATCTGTCCATCCTCTCCACCCCACAGAGTCTGTGCAAATTACTAAAGTACCTAAGTAAAATTCTGTACGCTTTCCTTTTTCTTTCCTTAATCCTGATTCTTTCCTCCCCACTTTCCCCTCTTCTTTCTTTCCTTTTTCCTTCTTTAGTTTTGGGATCAGACTCAGGGCTTCTCATAACACACTGAGGTATAACATCAATCCAAATTTTGTTTTTTAAAAAAATACTGGTTATTTAATTTTTGTTAATGGATGTTTGTGAGTGTGCATGTGTGTGTGGGTGCACATGTGCTTATGGCCCACAAATGGAGTCAGAGGACAGCTTGTGGGAGTCAGTACTCTGTCCATCACATGAATTGAACTCAGATTGTCAGGCTTGCAGCAGGTACCTTTACCTGGAGAGGCATCTCCACCACCAACCTGTGTGTGTGTGTCTGTCTGTCTGTATGTGTATTTAAGATTTTAAAAATCATTTGTATGTGTGTATTGAAGGTATGATTTGTGTACATGAGCTTAGGTGCTTGAAAGGGGAGACCAGAAGAAGGTATCGGATTCCGTGGAGCTGGGGCTTACAGGCAGTTTTGAGCCTCCTGATACAGGTGCTGGGAATCAAACTTGGGTCTTGCAAGAACAGTACTTACATTTAAGTGCTGAGCCATCATCTCTCCAGCCCCCGGAATTTTAATTTTGAACCTTGAGTAAAGCCTGTTAAAAATTTCTATTACTTATGTTGCTCTTTTTCTTTGAACTTTTTTTTTTGCACCCCTTTTCTAGTTAGCATATAAAGTGATGGGTTTTGTGATGGCATTTGCATACATTTTTATTACTGTGCTTTTTCCTTAAACATTCCTTTTCCCCAACTGTCTTTTCTCTTGCCCTTGCTTTTTAAGTTTATATAGATTTATGTTAATGATATCATAGAACATTACTCTTGAAATACTGGAATCCAGCCTTTTATAGATTGGGAAAGTGAAATCTATGCAAAATAATCACTAATATTCACACATCTTGATGTTGTGGCAGAGCTGAGATTCAAAGTTCATCTCACTCAAATATCATGTATTCTTTATGATACCATACTATTACTTTGTACAATGTATAGTATTTGCTTTGTGAATCTTTCTCATGCAGATTCAACACTTATTTTGAGATGGGCTTTCAAACTATTGTTCTAATATTGTTGCTCAACGTGTTTTGTCTTCCTGACTCAGCCTCCTGAGCAGCTGGGCTTTCTGGCATATGATCTTTTATTTTGTAGTTTTCTTCAGTCTTCATGTATTAGTAGCATTACTGAAATCTGTTGTCTTTGTAGTTGAGTCTTGTGGCCTCCTAAGAAGTGTATGAAGGTGCTAGGGATGTTAACTGATAGACATAGGGCTTGCTTTAACAGGCAGGTTGGATCCTCAGCACTGAAGGGAAAAAGAAAAAAAAAAGATTGTTGCCTTAAAAGTTTTGCTGTTGGCTTTTATTTTGTTTGATTTATTTGGTAAAAAGAATGACTCTGGTGGACTTTGAAAGAATATTGTAATGGTTTGGTGGAAACTTGCAGGGTTCATCATGAAACTAAATGTAATGTGCTAGCTAAATGTTCTTTCAAGTGTTAAAACTTTCACATTTTGTCTGTCAAGAATCAGCAGTGCAGTCTGCTTGTTAAGCACATTGTAAAAATCACTTTCCATTTTGTAGAGTTAGAGCTTTTATATAAGGTTTTTTTTTTTCTCTAAAGTTTGTTAATAGAAGAGGTGTTAGATCGCCTTTAACAAGAGTTCAGTGGTGCCAAACAGCACAGAAACTGCCAGGTAAAATTTCTCTGGGGAGATTGAGAAGATTGAGTCTTTTTTTTTTTTTTTTTTTTTTTTTTTTTTGAGACAGGACCTCACTGTGCAGTCCTGGTTGATCTGGACTTACTAGATAAATAAGTCTGGCCTCAAACTTACAAAAGAACTTCATGCCTCTACCTCCCAAGTGCTGGATTAGAGGTACATGCCAACAAGCCCCATCAATGCTTCCTTTTTTTTTTTTTTTATATATATATATATATATATGAAACATGTTAGAAACTGTCTTTTCATTTATGTTTTGGTTGGTTAATATGGCTTGTTTTTTTTTTTTTTGTTTGTTTGTTTAAATAAACTGCCAAATCTTGGAACTCAGACTGAGGCAGGAGAATTGCAGATTTGAGGTCAGGCTCGGCTACATAGAGCACTCTTGTCTTAACAAAACAAAACAATATTACAAGTTAAAATATGTTGAAATGCTGATTCTTACATGTTTTATTCCCAAAGTTATCTTTGACAAATTGGATAAAAGCATGGTATAGTAGTAATGCATGCCTTTAATTCCAGCACTCAGGAGGCAGAGGAGCAGGTGGATTTATGAGTTTGAGGCCAGCCTAGTCTACAGATCCAGTTCAGGGACAACCAAGGTTATATTGAGAAACCCTGTCTCCAAAAAAAAAAAAAAAAAAAAAAAAAAAACACTAAACTAAAAGGTATGGATAATGTCATGAGTAGACCAGTGGAAAATTTCTTTCAGTCTGGTCTGTAGCTGAGGGTGATAGCAGACTCTTGATCTTCTGTCTCCAAGTCCCATTAAGTGTGGGTCATCTTTCTTTGTATATTCAGTGCTTTGTCTCAGTCTTGTGGCTTTGTTCATGCTAGACAGGTACTCTACCAACTGAGCTATATCCCTAGCCTGGAAATTTTGTTTTAAGAATAGGTATATCTTAGTTAGGCTTGATATTGCTGTGCAGAGACACCATGATCATGGTAACTCTTGTAAAGGAAAACATTTGATTGAGGTGGCAACTTACAGTTTCAGAGGTTCAGTCCATAATCATCATGGTGCTGGAGGAATAGCTGAGAGTCCATATCTTGCAGGCAACAGGAAGTTGACTGAGTGGTAATCCTGAACATAGGAAACCTCAAAACCCGCCCCTACAGTGACACACTTCCTCCCACAAAGCCACTCCTTGTAATTATGACATTTTCCTATGAGATTATGGGGGCCAGTTACATTCAAACTACCACAAAGTGCCTCTTATGTGTTA